TCTGATTCAGAGCTCGAGAAGAGGTCTAAGGCTAGGCATAATGTTCCTGCCCCCAGAGCTACTCCAACCAGGAAAAGAACAAGGTCACAGATTTCTCAAACTGCTCAATCTCTTATTGCTCTTCCAGCTGAAGTAGGCAGGAAGAAACAAAAGTCTACCAATAAGTACTCATTCCTTAAATTTTCCCACTCTGCTAACTTCTCATAGATATCAAACTCATTGCATTTTTCCTTATGATTAAGATTGCTGTTAGTAAGAAGCTTGACTTTCCTCCTAAGAAAATGAAAGCCAGTGAGGAAAGGCAGCAAAGTGACAAGGAAGTTTTGTCCAAGATTTTGGAGGAACTGAAGGTAATCACTATTTGAACACTCAATATCTATTTCCTCTTCAATATTTAACCCTCATATACTAACTCTAATTGTTTTTATTTTATTTTATTAAAAGCAAGCTTCCAAGGCAAAAGGAATCTCCCAGGAAAAACCCTCTTCACCTCCAGCCCGACCTGTGCATGTTTCTCCTCCTTAGGTCAAGCCTTCAGAGGTACATTCTTTTTCTCAAAACTTGTTACTTTTCAAATTCTTAAGATCCAATCTCTAACCCAACTTTTGCTATTTTTAGATAAGGAAAAGCACTCCAACACCTACAACTCAGCAAACACCTACTCCATCTCCCTCTCAAGTTCCTTTAGCCATAGCAGTGACTCCCACTTCTCAATTTAACCCTACAACTAGAGAGTTGTTTCATTTTGTAGAAGATGATAGCACCTCTGTAATTTTCTTCTTTTAGATGCTTTTCATTTTAAGATCTCTTTTTTTGGACCTAGTGCTTTAAACTTTGTCTTTGTCAGTCTTCACCTTTTCCAGAAGCCACCAAGTCTCATACACCAACTATTAAGGAACCAATAGTCCCTGAGATACCAGTCGTCTCAGAGGTGACTAGTCTTAGTGCCTTCCCTGCCCTATCCCTATCAAATCAACCATCTCATCTAAAAGCAACTACATTAGAAAACCTTACAACCATGGCTCAAGGCTCTACTAAGGTATACTTAACTCGACAACTTGTCCCCTTTCTCTCATTATTTTTTTTATTTCAGCTTAAGGTTAGCCTTTTAACGTATTCCTTTTGCATCTAATATGTCTCTGGCAAGGGTTCGAGCAAGCTTTCTTAGCCCGCTATAAGCAAAGTGGTTCATCTTCGACCTCCTCGGGCTACTGGAGCTTCCGGGATTCCCATCCCTAGGCCTAGGAAGGTGGTTGCTACCGAATCTTCTTTCTCCTCTACTACTGCTGATGATATTGCCACTACTGCTGCTGCTACTTCAAGTGGTGCTGGCGTCATGCCCCTCCATTGGCTTCTCTCCCAGCCACAACCTCATTGCCCAAACTAGTTAAAGAATTCGGGCAAATCAGGACTAAGCTAAGATCCCCAATGCGCCATTCTAAGTCTCAAAACATTCAAGATCAGTGCAAGATTTTCAGAAAATGGATGCAGATGGAATTTTCTGCCTCATTCAGTCTTAGGACACTTCAAGATGCTGAGAAAGCTCTAACTAAGTTGTATCAGTCCAAGCAAATGACCAAGGTGCAATATGAGTCCTTCCTCTAATTCTTTGAGAATCTGAGGGCTTTGAGGAATCATCATCTTAGGCCTGAGAGGCAGGGCAATCGAGTGAGGTACTACAAAGATAAGCATGCTCGGACTTCCACTAACCTTCAGCAGCTTATAAAAGACACCCGGCTATGGATGATAGAATAATGGTGGTGGCAAAAGAAATTCAAAAATTGGAGGAACAGCTTTTTGCTTTAAAGGATGAGCAAATAACCCTCTTCAACAAACTTTACAAGAAAATAAATGAGGTGAAGAAAGTGAACCAGGAGATGGAAAAATTAGAAGCTTAATTAGCCAACAGCAACATAGCTCTAAAAGAGCCAAGTTGCATCTTCACCATAATGCAGACTTATTATTCTAGAATAGCTGCTCTGGCCAAGGATGTAAATTTGTGAAACAAATCTTAGCTTTTGTATTTTCACAATCATTAAATAAAAAGACTTTCCATTGCTCTGCTACTTTATTTGCTCATTTATAATTGCTTGTCATTTTACCCAAAAGAAATTTTTTTTTTTTTATTTTTTTAAATATGCAAGGAATCTCTGGAAAACCACTTTATGACAACTTCATCAATATAACAGTCTCTAACATCCCAAAGAGTTGGGTGATACTTCTTCAGGAACTTAACATTCACTACTACAATATTAGCTTTAGGTGGTGGATATTAGAAAAATCATGTCGGATAAATTATATCCGACACATCATTTAATTAGTGGTGGATATTAGCAAAATCCTGTCGGTTATATCCGACATAAAATCCTGGCGGATATTTAGTGGCAGATATCAAAAAAATAATGTTGGTTATAACCGACAATATTTTTTAATCTTTTTTTTTTAAATATTTTTGACAGATTCTGGCGGTTTTTAAGGTAATGGTGGTGGTTATAACCTACAGAAATTGACTCTTTTATTATTTTACTTTCTGGTGGTTATTATTTTAGTATTCTGGTGGTTATAACCGACAAAAATGAAAATTTTATTATTTTAAAATGTTATATTGATTAAAAATAAATAAATAAACACATATTTTAAATATTTTTTTTTTCACTCATGACCCTAAAGTCTAATGAACCCAATTCCCACGAGCCATAAATTTTCTAAGAGAATAATAACAACAGACTACAATCTGAAGCGCTATCATTTTTGTAATAAGGATTATGCTCCCTCACAGGCAAGCAACAAGATACAAAGAAATTCAAACAATTTTTTTCAATGCGTCACAAAGCACATTGTCTAGTACATAAACACACATGAACATCTAGTGTACTCTATCATGTTTGATTTTATTATTTTAAAATGTTATATTGATTAAAAATAAATAAATAAATAAACACATGTTTTAAATATTTTTTTTTTCACTCATGGCCCGGTAGGATATAACCGACACGAACAAAACAAAATCTTGGATGACCGCAAGAATAATCTTTGAATGTTTTTTTTTTTTTGCGATTTTTAACACATCCTATCTCGGAGTTTATACAAATGTATTTGACTGTTGGATCGTTGAAACTAGTTTCGTAGAATGCATATCCTATCAAATTGATAGATTTAACAAACACTTAAGAGTTAATGTTATACTTCCATTAAGTATAAAATAAGATTTATCTACTAGTGTAAATATTTTAAATTGAAGATCAAATTCATTCATTGCATTCTTATAGGATCGAGGAGTGTAGCTGCAAAAAATCATCAAAATCAGAGCTAAAATAACTGTTAAATTGTGATTTTTCGTTTATAACTATTGAAAACTTTTGTTCTGTTACCTAATCTCTAAATGTTTGCTTTTTGCGATTTTTTACGTATGCGATCTCAAAGTGTGTACAAACAAGTTTGACGGTTGGATCGTTGAAAAACGTTTTGTAGAATGCGTATCGCATCAAAATGGTAGATTAAACCGACACTTAGAGTTAGTGTTACACTTCCCCATCAAGTATAAAATAAGATTTTGTAGTATCCACTAGTGTAAATATTTTAAATTGAAGATTGAATTCATTCAATGCATTCTTATAGGGTCGATGAGTGTAGCTGTAAAAATCATCAAAATCGGAGCTAAAATAACCGTTAAATTATGATTTTTCGTTTATAACCATCAAAAACTTTTGTTTTGTTACCTAGTTTGTTTTTTGTGATTTTTTACATATGTTATATTGGAGTGTGTACAATCAAGTTTGACGGTTAGATCATTGAAAAAAGTTTCGAAGAATGTGTATCTCGTCAAAACGATAGATTAAATAAACATTTAAGATTTAATGTCGTACTTCCATTAAATATAAAATAAGATTTTGTGGTATCCACTAGTGCAATAAATTGAAGATCAAATTTATTCATTGCATTCTTATAAGGTCGAGGAGTGTAGCTGTAAAAAATCATTAAAATCGGAGCTAAAATAACCATTAAATTGTGATTTTTCGTTTATAACCGTCGAAAACTTTTGTTTCGTTACATAATCTCTGAATATTTCTTTTTTACCATTTTTTACGTATGCAATCTCGGAGTGTGTACAAATAAGTTTGACAGTTGGATCGTTGAAAAAAGTTTCGTAGAATGCATATCACGTCAAAACGGTAAATTAAACAAACACTTACAATTAATATTATACTTCCATTAAGTATAAAATAAGATTTTGTGGTATCCACTAGTGTAAATATTTTAAATTGAAGATCGAATTTGTTCATTGCATTCTTATAGGGCCGTGGAGTGTGATCAATCAAAATTGGAGCTAAAATAACCGTTAAATTGTGATTTTTCGTTTATAACCGTTGAAAACTTTTGTTCTGTTACCTAATCTCTTAATGTTTTTTTTTTTTTTTTTGCAATTTTTTACGTATGCTATCTCGTAGTATCTACAAACAAGTTTGACGGTCAGATCATTGAAACTAGTTTCGTAAAATGCATATCTCCGTTAAATTTGCCTAAATTTTGAAGTGTGAGAAAAGTAATTTGTGCTAAAATTTTATTTATGTTTTTCAAGTATTGATTAGATAATATTTAGTTTGTATGATGACATTTTCATTGTACAATTATCTTTTTGTTTCTTTCTTTCATATTTTACATGGGTTATTATCTGTTAAACCAAACAATTATTTATTTAATTTTTAAAAATGCATTATATTCAAATACATATTATTTATTTATTTATTAAACCAAACAGTAATTATTTTATTTTTTAAAATCGTAATAAAATTTTGGGAGAGAATTTTGGGGGGATTTTGCCGCCATTTTTTGTTCTATCAGTTATAACCGACAGTAATGAAAATTTTCTATCGGTTTATATTTTAAAAAATATTTATGTCGGTTTTAATCGACAGTAATAAAAATTTTCCAACTTAAAACCCCTTTATCTCTTCATTTGCGCCGATGCCTTCTCCCTTCTCCTTTCCTTCTCCCTTTTCTCCTCCTCGCATTTCCTTCACTTCTCTTGTGAAAACCTATTTTTGGTTAGGTTTCTGTGAAGTTTTAAGATCAGAAAATGGGATCCTTCCCCACTTCCAACAGCCGACCTTCTTTCCTTTTCTACAAATATCATCATGACCTTTTTGTCTTTTCAACAGCACCATCATTACTTTTTATTAAATCTCTATCACTTCTTCTCTCATGTCCCATCCTCCCAATTTTATTTTATTTTTTCTCCCCATCAGCCAGTTCTCTTCCCTCACATCTTTTTCTCTCTCTGACACACCCCACTTTCCTGTGCACTCTCCCCTCCCTCACGTTACTCATTCTCAGCCACTTAATCTTTCTTTATTTTATCTCTCTTTCCCTCAAACTTTTTCATTTCATCTGCATGCATAGAAAGCAACGTAGAGAAGCAGGGAAAGAGGCCGAGAGTATGAATAAGAGCAAAGGCTCTCGTTTGTTATCATGCAAATGAGTTAGTATGCATGTAAGCTTAAGTTATGGAGATTTTTAGATAGGTTGTCTTGTCAAAGCTCGAATTATCAAGGTGAGTGGGATCTTACATCTCTTCTCTTCTTTTCTGCTCTCTCCTCATTTCCTTCTCCCTCCCCCCTCCCTTCCCCCTTTTCTCCTAATTATTTATTTCTTCGATTAAAGTGATGTAGGCTACGACGAGAAGCGGCATAATTTGATTCGGAGAATCGATTTCGCTTGGGCTGTGGAGAATGACGAGAACAAGAAGCAGAAGAAGAGCTTGAAAGAGAGCGCGGTGACACAGTGGCAATGGCAGAGCATAGTGGAGAACTTACAGCTGGCGCACCAAGAGCTCTCCGTTATCATAGATCTCATCAACACTGTAAGTATTTCGATTTCGAGGAGAGATTCATTTGAATGAGCAATGCTTGCTGTGATTGAGTGATTCTAATGAAATGTGAATGTATGCAGGTAGAAACAAATGATGCTGTAACAATTGCTAGCATGACGCGTCCTAAGTCGCTTCCTAATGAAGCTATGTCTGATTTTGATGTGAATATGGAAAATACAATGAATGCAGGGGATATGATGCAAAAAGTGGTTGTTTATATTTTTTTTATTAGTAGTAGATTTTCTGTCGATTTTATCCGACAAAAAGGCTTTTATTTATTCTTATTAATAAATTATGTCGGTTATATCCGACAGAAATGCTGACAGAAGTTCTGTCAGTTTTAGTATTTTCTGTGAATCGAATGGCATGTTGATGCAAGAGGGAAGATTGTTCGTGCCAAATAATGTGGATTTAAAGAAGGAAATTTCTCGATGAAGCACATATTTCGGCTTACGCCATGCATCCAGGAGCTACAAAAATGTATCATACCATTCGACCATTCTATTATTGGTCGGGCATAAAGAGGGAAATAGCTGAGTACGTGAGTAGATGTGCTGTTTGTCAGCAGGTTAAAGCAGAAAGGAAGAAGCCGTTTGGGTTGTTGCAACCGCTTCCCGTTCCCGAGTGGAAATGGGAAAATATCACTATGGATTTCGTGTACAAGCTTCCGCGTACACATAACGGTTTTGATGGCATTTGGGTGATCGTTGATCGACTCACTAAGTCCGCACATTTTATTCCAGTGAGAGAGAAGTATTCTTTGAGTCGTTTAGCGGAGTTGTTCATCTCAAAGGTTGTGAAATATCATGGTGTTCCGGTGAGTATTGTCTCGGATCGGGATCCACGATTTACATCTAAGTTTTGGGTGGCTTTTCAAGAAGCTTTGGGTACAAGACTACTTTACAGTACGGCGTATCATCCTCAGACGGATGGACAGTCAGAGAGAACTATTCAGACTTTGGAGGATATGTTGCGAACTTCGGTGTTGCAATTTGGTGATGCTTGGCACCAGCGGTTGGATTTAATGGAATTTGCCTATAATAATAGTTTTCACTCGAGTATTGGCATGGCGCCATTTGAGGCATTGTATGGTAGAGCTTGTCGCACACCGTTGTGTTGGTCAGAGGTTGGAGAAAGAGTCTTAGTGGGTCCGGAGATTGTTGAGGAGACTACTCAGAACGTTCAGGTAATCAAGTCTAACCTGAAAGCAGCCCAGGACAGAAAGAAGAGTTTAGCGGATCGGCATGCTACGGATAGAACGTACGAGGTTGGAGATTGGGTATTTCTGAAGCTTTCACCGTGGAGAGGGGTAGTGAGATTTGGGAAGAAAGGCAAGTTGAGCCCCAGGTACATCGGACCATACATGGTCACAGAGCGAGTTGGTGAGGTAGCTTACAGGTTGGAGTTGCCTCCGGAGCTAGCCAGGGTGCATAACGTTTTTCACGTGTCTATGCTCCGACATTATGTTGCTGACCCATCTCATGTAATACCTCCGCAAACCTTGGAGATTAATCCAGATTTGACGTATGAGGAGGAACCGGTGACGATCATCGATTGGAAGGAGAAGGTTCTGAGGAACAAGACGGTGAGTTTAGTGAAAGTTTTGTGGAGGAATCATTCGGTCGAGGAAGCGACGTGGGAGACAGAAGATCGGATGAGGGGATTTGTATCCTAGATTGTTCTTTGGTTGCTAGGGGTGGTTTTTGGTTGTTTTGAATTTCGGGGCGAAATTCTATTAAGGAGGGTAGGTTGTGACATCCCGTCCCAAAATTCATGTTAACGTACGTGTGAAATTACAACTTTGCCCCTAGTACGTTTCGTTTACGTTTAGTGGTTGTTTCGTGTGGTGTGGGCATGTGTTGGGCCACACACACACCCACACTCTCACACTCACTCTCTCTGTCCCTTTCCCTGTCTCTCTCTCCCGTGTTTCCTTTCCCTTTCCCTTTCTTCTTCTTCTTCCTTTGAATTGGTACGGACACACACACACCTACACTATTTCACCACAGATCAAACAATCTAAGCTCACAATCGAGATCGTGAGGTCGTGGGGAGCAAGATCATACCAATATCAGGTAAGAACTTCGACGTTTTCACGTCGATTTCACAAGGTCCGTTTTAGTCACTGTTCATGCAAGATTAATCTAGTTAGTTTTTGGACTTTTGAAGCTTGTAGATGTGTTGGTGAGGTCCCAAGGAGCTTGGGGAGTGCATCGTTGGACGGAATTGGACGTCGGATTAACCTGGTTCGAGTTTGACCGGTTTTGGTAATTGGTGACAGGTGAGTTTTCGTGAGTTTTAGTCCTTAAAACTTATATAGACGTGTTCTACTAGTTCTAAGGGTTAAAATGGTGCAAGAATCATGAAAAATGGTGGAAAAACGAATGAGAAAACGCGAATTACAGGTTTTCCGGCGACGGCGCCGGAGTCTCGCCAGAGAAGGTGACGGAATATTCCGTCAGAATTCTGACGGAATATTCCTAACGGCGTCAGTTGACGCCGTCCGTGTGCACCGCACGTGCCTGCGCGTGGCCGACGCGTGTGGCCGTGCCTTGGCCGGCGCGTGGCGGCGCGTGCGGCAGAGAAAAAAATTTATAAAAATATGGTTGTGATCCTGAGGTTGTGTAGAGCACGTTGGTATATTCATTTGTCCATTTTGAGCAATGTATGAGAAGTTATTTCGAAGGGAAGTATGTGCTTTAAAATTACGTTTTTATAGTTGTTTCGCATATAGGTGTATGTATCCTGAGGACGAGCGTGCTCCACTCGAGGCAAGGGGGCTACGACCCTTCCACAAAAAAGTGAGTGGGCTTTGGTTGTCCGTATATACCTATATACTATTATTTACCCAGAAATTGATTAAATGTTATTAGTTATATGCCATGTGTTATATTATCGTTCCTTATGCATCATTAGTTGCTTATTAATCGTATATATATACGTATGCATAATTGGTGCTGTGGAGCACAGGTAAGTACCAGGTAGCGTTATTTCATATATGCATTTACATAGTGATTAGAGATGCTTAGAGAGCTCATAACCTGCACCCCCGGTGTTAGTGCTCCCGCCCAGAGTAGGGCACAGCCCCTCACGTGTCGTTCACCTCCCGCACCATACGCTCAGCTTGGATCCAAGTTAGGTGCACAGTCTTGTCGTACAGACCACTTTACGTGGTTCCGACTCGTAGGTGACCCGCGATTATTCGCACAGCCCTCACGTGATCGTAGCACTAGAGCGTTTATATGTATTACACCCAGGCCTGTCGTACAGACCACTATAGGTGGTTCCGACTTGTGGGCAGGTTTAGTTATTGAGATTGAGATTTGAGCTCTAGATTCAGCCGTACAGGTCACTTTAGGTGACTCCGGCTGCCAGTGACATGTTATTGATACGGTTTATACCTGAACACTTGCATATCATTATGAGGCTTTGACATGGCATACCTGTGAGTATAATTGGCATACCTGTGAGTATGATTGGCATACCTGTGAGCATGATTGACATACCCTTGAGCATGACTTGGCATATCTATGTATACGTACATACGTTTATTTTCTGGGAAGTATACAGGTTTTACGGCGAGGGGTTAGAATGTATTTTATGAAATGGTTTTCAAAGAGCTTTGTTTTTGCCCACTCACGCTTTTGTTTTGCGCCCCTCCAGGTTCTAGTAGCTTAGCTGGTTCGGTGGTTTTCCCAGAGGACGTCCCGGCATTTCTGACAGACACTCACCGATGTAGGGTCACCTTCGGGTGTACTATGGTTGTATCATTTCTTTTGGACTGCTATAGGCTTTATGCTCTGAATTCAGCGTCTCACTTACGCTAGCACTTGTCTTATCACATTATGTATGCTAGTTTTTAAATTATTCGTACTTTTATATTACTTCTATTAGCTTCCGCACTGTGCACATGGCTACGTCACTTCCACGTGACGGCCAGCATGCCCTGATCTCGGTCGGGGTGTGTCAACAATGTCATCAATGTATACATTCATGTTATGCCAAATGAGGTCATGAAAGATAGCAGTCATTGCCCTTTGATATGTAGCACCCACGTTTTACAACCCAAAGGGCATCACAACATATTACATATTCATAAGCCCCTACGTGTCCAGGACACCTGAATGCAATATTTGTATGTCCTTTTTAGCCATTTTTATCTGATTATATCCAGCATATGTCATCCATGAAAGATAACACATTGTGTTTTATGACTGCATCAATAGATAGGTCAGTCGTAGGGGGTAATCGTCTACTTTATACTTTATACTTTATGCTTTGTAGGTAAATTACAAAAGTATCTACTTTATACTTGTCTTACCATCATCTGTTCCATTTCTTATATTTGTTTGACAATCATTATAGGTAAATTATTTTGCATGTATACATAAGACACATTTTGTTATTATCATTATATCTATGTGAAATAAATTACCTATATTTTAAGTAGAATATAGGTAATTAGTTAACTTTGAATCAATTGGCTAAAACGTCCTTTTATTTTGTAGGTAAATAATTTTGCATGTATTATTACATATACTAGGCACATTTGTTATTATTATGTGTTTTTTGCAATCAATCAACATTCATTTATTATGTAGGTAAATTATTTTGCATGTATTATTACATATGTTAGGCACGTTTTGATATTATAATATATATGCGTATGCAAAAAGCTTAATTAACTTTTGAATCAAACAGTATTTATTTATTCCTTTATTTTGTAGGTAAATTATTTTGCATGTATTATTTTACCTGAAACTTATATTGTTATTTTATATATGTAAAATATTGGTAATTTTGAATAAAATAACATTTGTATATTTGTGAAAAATACCAATTTACCTGTTACAATTATTTGAAAAGGAAAAAAAATGCGCATTTTTACATAAATGTGGAAACAACTATATAAGGAATCAAAACTCTATTATCATGTAACTTTTGTTATTAATATGTTGAAATCATGACACTAAAATTTTTCTTTTCCAAATCTGCATAAACATTTCAAAACGTTTAATTGAATGAAATAATATAAAATAAATGTAGATAACAAGTAATAGACCCAAAGTCAATGATATTAGGGGTAATTTAGACATACAAAAATACCCATTTTGCCAAGTCATTCTTAATTATAGATATTGCTTAGTTGGTGCCTAGTCAATGGGCTTTTATTAGAAACTTTTACAATTGTGGGTTTTAGTTAATGAAAATTGAATTCCAAGGGGTATACTCATATTTTCAGTATTTTTTATTTATAGCACAAGTAGAAATCCCGACAACCCTTGCCAAAAACTGTGTTTTATTGCTCTCTGTTAGAAAAAGTTACAAGGAAATTATGATATTCTTCTAAGAAGCACATAGACAATTAGGTTGAGGTGCATGTATCTCGCTCTCTTGAAGGATATTCAGGCCCACTGCAGTTGAGAAATCCATGAATCGATGCAAGAGTATATCATTTGACTTGACATCCCCTCCAAGAGACAACAACACAATTGAATCATTGTGTGACTTAAACCTACTATGCACAAAAGGAAGAGTTCAAAGCTCCACTACACGAACACTCTTCTTTGACTAGTAAGTAAAAACAAAACGACAGAAGAAAGGAGAATAATTGATGTAGAAGAAATTAGGTAGTAGGATAATAAATAAAAATTTGATGAAAAAAATGCTACTAATTATAGGTTTAAACCAACCTTAGCGAATAGAGTAAGAAACACAAATTAACAATAAAAGAGTTACAAAAGATACATAAAATGAAAGGTTAAAAGATTACATTTTAATTTTCCAATAACAACAAATAATGACAATCATCTTAATTTCCCACTAACAATAAATAATGACAATTATAAGTAACTTGATATTAAAAATGCATCAACTCTCTCTCTCTCTCTCTCTCTCTCTCTCTCTCTCTCTCATTCAATCATGGCTACGCGTTTCTGAGTTGTACACAGAAGCTTTTATATCACTTGCTAGCGACAGCAAACGAGACCAACCCTAGCTAATACCCAAATACAGATACAAGACTACAAAAACTTGGTGCTCAAGCCATAAAAATAAAGGGTAATGCTAGGGAAACTAAATTTGTAGATAAAATTTTGTAAACTAAATGACATAAAAATTGATAATTGGGTTACTACTTAAGTGTTGATTAACGTGCTTATTTTTAATTGGTGACACATCATTTAGTTTGCAAATTTAATCTAAAAATTTAATATGGTTAGTATTACTCAAAAACAAATGCCACCGCCAGCAAACAGACATCGAAGAACAAACAAAAATGACCTAAATTTCCAAGAAACTACGGATCGAAAACAAGTAGAAACAAGTTGCCAAAACGAATTAAAAAAGTACAAGAGTCAAGAGAGGATTATGGATTTTTCTTTTTCTTTTGGAATAGGGTTGGAAATGTGGGGTTTGATTAATTCAAGTTGACCAAGACAGCGTTCTTGGCAGGTTTCTTTTCTTTTCAGATACTTGCAATTGTTTTTTGTTTCATGTGAGGCATTATCTTCATTCAACACTGCAGGTGTCCATAGGAACTTGTGGTTGGCATTGCGTTTTTTAATCTAAAAGTGCCATCATATACTAGCAAGCCAATTTCATTGCATGTCCTCTGCTTCGAAGATTAGGATTGGGCATGCATGGTTCACTCAATAATTGCCTTGTACTTTAAACTACCATGGATGATATTTGTTTTTTAGGCCTACCACTTCAATCAAGAAAACATAAAAGGGGAAACACAATAAACGATCGGATGTCACATTAATTGATATTTCTCTTTACGACATTCGACAAACTAACGATATTCATGTTACGACAGCAAAAAGTTTGTTACCAGGCCGACTACCTAAAATACAAAACACGCCATTTTGGTAAAACCCTAGCTCTAGCGCACTGTAAATTGATATTGGTTCATGTCACTTTGCAACTTGCAAGTTCAAACAAACTTGTTGATTAAAAGTGGAGGGATCGGAATAAACCAGAAAAATTGGAAAGAAACCCTAAAAACACGATCAGAAGAATGAAAAGGAAAAAGAAAAACCCGTGAACATTTAATTGTGATAGCAGTGGCATGACAACCCTCACACCACCGTAGAGTGGACTGTCCTTTTATGCGTACCCGACTATATGACAACTTAAGATTCTAAGCAAATAGATAGCTGCCACATTTGTCTGTTCTTTCTATTGTCCTTGTTTAGCACAAATTAACGGATGAGTTGAATGGACGGTGTTAGGCATCGTTGAAGACAACGGGAATTTGCTTACCATTCCAATCAAACTTAACTTTTTCTTCCATTAGAAATCGACTAAAGTATAACAAGATAGAAGGAATAGTGCTACGTTCACGATCTTAACTTCGTTTTGTCTTTCTGAGAAAACAGAAAAACAAAAAAAAAAAACAAAACAAAAAAAACAAAAAACAAAACAAAAGGTTTGTGCATACCATTCACTTGGTAAACCCTAGACTGGTGTAGCTATATCTTCAAAGTTCAAACATTCAGTTGCTTAAAGTCTTTGATCAAAAGAGTAGAGGTTTGATGAAGTCAAGTAAGGCATAGGTTTGTATCTATAGAGAGTATATATGGACACCATAAAGTTTTTTTAATACTATCTCCTAAGTTTTATGATATAACAATATAAAATATATTAAAGAATGGAGAGTTTGAGAATAAGATGTAATAAATTGTATTGAAACTGTGATTTACAAGATTCAACTATAAAACCTCATACTTATAAGTGAAAAAGAATATCACCATATTTCTAATAAACATAACGATTCAGTTAATATCAACACTATAAAAACATTTAGTAACCACACAATCAGAATTTTAAGTAACACCAATTAAATTAATTAACTACTAGTAATCCCATGATATTTAATCCCATAATATTACTCTTCCACAATTTTTAGATTCGATTATTCATTCTCCAGAAATATCAAAAAGTATGACCAATTTTCCCCCTTCCTTAATGTAAAATATTTGTTGTACTAAAAAATATGATCAATTGCCACTTAGTACTACGGTCTAGTAGTATTCTTCTTCACTTGTAACTGAAAGGTCTTAGGTTTGATTCTCGCCAAAGGCGAGTTTGAACCATATTATTACTAGTCCATTGTGAGGCTAAGTCACCCCTTCCCCTAATGTAGATAATATCGTTTGTTAAAAAAAAAAAATATATATATATATATATATATGGCCAATTGGCCTCTCTAGGCTTTTCATCTAAAAAGCAAATTGCATTTGCCGTTTTGGCACCCTCTCATTGACATACATGAAAAATTAAGCCCCAACTCTTTCTCCCCCTTTAATAAAGTTGATTTTAACCCTCATTATGACGTTGCAATGAAGCTTAAGTGAAACGTGATTTTGTTACTTAATATGTCTTTAAATTTTAATTTTCTTATTGAAAAGATAAATTATTTTGCTAAGTATCAACAAATGAAATAAATTGCAGAAAGTCACAAAGAATTTTGAGTGCAAAATATTTGAAATTCTCTTTTAACATAAGAGGTGGTGAGTGAGTGCCTGTGCTGAGTGGGTATAAAGGCCAATCCATATTAATTATATATAAAACTGCATAGTTGGAATTTGGAATCATTTTTGCATGAAACGACAAGGGATCTTGGATAGACGACCCTACCAATTACAGCAGCTTTCCTTGCTGTCCCTTTAATTTCAAAGATTCCCAATTGTAATTTGGCAATTAGGAATAGGTTAGTTCCAAAATCTAATCACAGCTCGAAGCTAGATGTTAAAATTTGTCAATTACAGCATATTTACTTCCATCAAATAAAGAGGTTTATGTGTGTCCCTTCCATGCATGCACGTTGCAGGTTCTTTCACCTTTGGATCTGTTGTCCAAGAAGGTTATTGGTCATGATTCTATACTTGATAGGGTAGAATGGATAATCTTAAGAACCTTATTCTGCGTCTGGCCCGTCCTTTAGGCACCTTTGGGAGGCAGGGAGTGTGACAACGTAAACTGCTCGAATGAAAGCTCTAGCGAGGAGGGAAGCGAAGCTGCTCGAGAGGGCGTCATCTCCCTAAAAGAGTATGCTTTTCTACATACATAAATATATAGTTGTTCACCTTTCCAAGATAACTATGAGTCGATATATATGCTAGGATGAATTACACGCATGCATACAAGTTGATTGTGTTCATGTGAGTGATTAGTTACTGCTACGTTGAGTATCATGGTAAAGGGTCGAACTTGATTATTTAAATTTAATGATTTTACGTATTAAGCTGAATCTCTAAATTCTAGACCTATACTTTTATAGAGTCGTTCAACAATTATCTCATTTTTAATCAGATTTCATTGTTTTATGTGACCTTAACGTATTCAGTTTTTGTATGCACTTGAATATCTTCACGAAAATTGTACATTAATTACACAATCAATACAGATTTTAATTAATATCTTTAATTTTCATGTCAATCATATCTAGTTCCTTTGAACTTTGTAATTGGATTTAGTTTTGGCAAGAATCAAAGATAAGAACTCTCAATTATAAGTGCAGAGGAATACCACTAGATCGTAATACTAAATGGTTACGTGTACTCAACTTTAGAAATTAGAATGTGGATGGAAGAACCAAATGCGCACACACCTCTTTTTTTTTTTTGGAATTTTTTTTTTTTTTGGAATTTCCCAATTCCCAATCGCATATATAACATAGGAAATTAGCAATATACATGTAAAATAAAAAGAGCCAAGAGCTCATCATCTCCCATGGTGTAAAAACGGTACACAATCTAAAAGGTAAAAAAAACACCACTCTCTACTTACACTCATATATTTACTTCACACACGAGAAGTTAATGGGCCCTAATATATGGACCCCCACAGCCTATTGAGCAACTCATGATTGATGATGATGTGACGCAGGCGCACCGCACATCGTGGTTCGTACGGACAAACGAACTGTAAGAAAGCACTTCAAAGCAGCCAGCACGGATTTCCAAAATGCTTCCAACTTTACCGCCACCCAAAGATGTAAAGGTACTTTCGATGGAACCGGATCCCCTCTAGAGCCAATAAAATTGGGCTACTAAATATGTGATCCGGACTGTTAAAATTTGATCAAACGGTTATAAACAGAGAATTCTTTAAAAATTATAATAATCGTAACCGTTGAATTAAATTTCAACGACCTAAATTGCATACTCAGCAGGCTCAGTATATATAGATCTAGAGAGAATCCGGTTCCTTTCAACTTAACCACCTGATAGTGACAGCAACGTTTCTAACTATATTTTTCATCTTAAGATTTTTTTCCTTTTTACTGCAGAAATGGCCGACCAGATTAGAGCGATAATGGAGATTCTATGTTTAGGCCAAGGCCTACTTCCTCTAGTTACCGTGTTGCGGCAGCCACTGTCGGCATAGACGTGGAAAGAATCGCGGTGGCTTGATGACGGCCTCTGTCGGAAGAATGGAGGGAATTGGGTCCAAAAGGAACTTATCCACCATCCGCGTGGCAGGTGTTGCCACGAATTTTTCCCATGCTTGATCCGCCTCCCCTTGGTGCTTTAAGAAGGCCTCCGTGGCATCAAGGCGGTGCATGTTCCAACCCCGCCGAGCTTGCAGCCGGCGGATCTTTTGCAATTGGCGATACGCCAAAATGCAAGTATTTTCTTTGATTTTAGAAATTGCTGCTTGAAGAAGCCTCTCTTGGGTTTCATCATCGTTACTACCACTCGCTTCGCAGTGTAAATACTCATGCATTTCAGGCACGCCTATGGCTTGCCTGATTCCATGCGTATATTCTGCTTCAGTCGTAGAGTCAAACATTTTCCTCACCTCGTCCACCAAACCCACCTTCACCATCCGATCCACTCTCTTCGACACGAAAGAGTGGAGCACAGGGATGGCCACATCAACCCAAAGAAAGCAACACTCGTACTTCATTCGAAACTCCGAGTGTTTATCCACCAAGGCTTCAATGTACGAATTCGAACCACCCGCAATGATCGGCAGTCTGTCACGCTCCAAGATGGATTCGATGGCCAACGACGCATGGTGCTTGAAATCATTGGCAGTAAAATTTGAGTTGGGATCGACTTTGCCTATCAAATGGTGAGGTATGCCTTTACACTCTTCCTCGGTGACTTTGTTGGTGACGATGTCCAAGCCTTTGTAGACTTGCATTTTGTCCGAGTTTATAATCTCCGCCGGATAATGCATTGCGAGGTCTATGGCAAGCCGGGACTTGCCAGTCCCGGTGGCTCCCATTACGATCACAACCTTATCTTTTCTCCGGAAAAATGGATCCATGTTGATGTTGGTAAGCGCGGGGCCCTGGAAGCTCACCATCGGCTGTACTACTTGTTTGAAGGCAGACATGAGAATTCTCATTTTGTTATTAATTGAAACCTGCAAGGTTGACCCATAAACACAGGTGAGAATTCACTTCATGGAAACATTATATTCAAAGTTACACATGTAACGCAGTCCTCACAACAAAACCGACAAAATATCCCACATAGCTTTTTGGACCACGTTACCTTCAATTACAATAAACGCGGCGAATTGTTGGATAAAAATGGCTTGTAAAAACTTCTTGATGTAGAGTATTAAAGAGAGACGAGAGAGCCACCGAGAGATGCAAGCCACTGGGGTTAGCCTACTGGCAAGGTAGTTAGGGTGATCGATCGGTAGAATGAATGGTGATGGTTATGTATAGATGGGTTTTCTCTCTAGGTATATCTTGTACTAGCTTCCCTTTTTTTTAAAAAAAAAAATACGGTTGCGGAGGAAAACTGTGGGTTTTCTGAGAAAATGAAGTTTTTGAAGCTGAATGATCACTGCCTAAGCAGAAGAGATGAGAGCTTGGGGATTTTATAGTGGTGGGAGAAAACTAAAGCAACGAAGGGTTGTATAGGGTTTTCTTATGACTTCAATGGAGTGAAAACACATGTAGATTTTTGGTGAATTGTCCTGGGCAGAAGTATTGTCTTATAGTGTGGATTTACTGTCTTTGAATATTCTTTAATTGAAAAATAAGAAGGGCTTTAGAGTATTTTTAATGGAGTCCCTATGACTGTATATTCCCTAAATATAGAGTCAAATGACTTCTAATGAGCCAGAATTGAAATCCTCAAAATATCTCAATATATTAAGAACTCGCCAGATATTTTAAAAGAATTTTCAAATATAAGAACTATATATAAAGACGTAAATAGTAGACTCTATATTAATTGTGAGTGGGAAATGATGCTGCTCCTTTTTTTTTTTTCCTTGTTTTTTGAACCCACCCAAGTGGGGCAACTTTTCATTTGCCTTTAATTTTTTTTAATTCTTGAAAAATCAATGGTATCAATGGTTATCGTATTTTAATTAAATGAATAATAATTTTTTAATATTTTAGTTTTTATATTTAGGGATTATACTCTAGGGAATTACCATATTAGACAATATTCTTTTAGAGACTCTAATATTCCTCTAAAACTCTTAAATGAGTCCTTAAGATGATGGTGGGAATCCCTAAGTAGGGACTGCCATTAGAAATGCTCTTAGCATTTTTTTTTTTTTGGACAACAAAGATGCTCTTAGCATTAGGAGGGACCATATAGAAAGAATTGATCGACACCAAGTTTTCTGTGTTTCATATACCAACAATTAAATGGGCCTCTTGTGCTAATTAGGAGGAGAAAAACTTGTGTGGGGCTTAGATTGAGACTAGACTTTGCTGAGTGGCACTACAATCCACTTAAAACGCGCCCACTTGACTAGTCTTAAATATAATCTTTTATCATTCTTTTATATTTAAAATTTTCATAATTATTTTTTCTACTAATAATATATATTAATCTAATGTTTCTTCATTTTTTTTCTTCTTTCCCCCTATTTTTTCTCTTCCCAAATTCCTCTCCACTTTGGTTTGCCATAGGTCTTCAGTACGCTCTCCCACTTCTTTCTCTTCCAATTTTGTTTATTGCTTTCCTTCAAAAAAAATTCTGCACCCACTCCAATTTTATCATGGAAAGCAACTAAGAATCTGTAAGTTTCTTTTCGTTCTTTATAGAACTTGACATGAATAACCCACATATTAGGGTTTTTTTTTCTTAATTATATTTGGTAAAGATGTACTTTCTTACAAATAGAAAGCTACTACAATCAAAACAAAGTGAAAGATAACAAATAGGTTATGAAAAAACTAACTCGATAATCTGGAGTGTGCACTTTTGTATTTATAGAGAGAAGAGAAACAGTGGGGGAATAAGAAAGATTTGTGTTAGAGAGAGGAGAGAAACAGTAGGGGGAAAGAAAGCAAAGAAGTTTTGTGAAGAAAAAAGTGCAGAATTTCATAAAACGCAAGAACCACAACTGGGAGAGAGAGAAGGACAAAACAAAGTGGAGGGAATTTGGGAAGAAAAAAAAATTAATGAAGAAAAAAAGGGGGGGGGGGGAAGAAGGAAAAAAAACATTAGATTGATATATATATATATATAATTTATTAATTAGTAAAAAAAATAATTATGAGAATTTTAAATATAAAAGAATGATAAAATATTATATATTTAAGACTTGCCATGTGACAAGTTTTGAATGGATTGTAGTGTCACTCAACAAAGTTCAGTGACAAGCTAAGTCATACACAAGTTTTTCTCAATTAGGAGGGCATGATCTGTTAATTTCATGGAAATTAAGTGTAATTAAGAGTGACATGATCTGTTAATTACATGAAAATGTGTAAGTAGGTAGCTAGCTAGGCTACAAATTAATCGTCATTTTAATGTGTTAAAGAGGAGCCACCTGTATAATAATATAATTAAAAGTATAAATAATATTAGTCAACTCAAAGTAGGAGGAAGTGATGTGGTTCAGGGTATGATTCCCTAATGCATACACCAGTTGTTAAGTGATTAACTTTTATTAATTTGGGTTTAGGTTCTAATTCTATACTTATTCTCCATAAAATAAAAATTAAGAACACGTATGCATCACCAACGATGTAAAATATTGGGTGGGAATGGGATAGTTGTATCAGGAAAGCAGTGGGCAAAACGAATTTTTCTTTACGGTTTTGATATCAATATAAAAAATTTTAGAATGTGTTAGAAGGGTAAAAGTGTTAGCCTTATGTTTCTGATAATTCACTCTTTAATCACTGTCCTTTGATTCCCAGTAAAATTATTATTCCTTCGAGAAACAATGTTACATAATAGTAGGAGAAGTAAGAAAAAAGAACCAAATTAACTAGTCCCTCGAGTCATCTAATTTCTTTTTTATTTATAAGTATTTGATTACGGATTTAAAATTAAAATCTCTCTTCTTGTTCCTATTGATAAAAGAAACACGGTTACGTTATTATAAAGGAAACACCTATTCATTACTCAAATGTAATCTTATTACAATTGAAATGAAAATACATTTCTCAATAAGAAACACCATACATTATTTGATAAGATCAGATGGGGATGGGGAGTTGACTGAAGATCAAGTCGAAAGGCGTAAGTTGAATTAAAATAATAAAATTTTGTATATTTTGGTTTTGGCGTCTGACTTGGGCCTGTACTGCTTCAGTTCGGCGAAAATAGGGACACAAACTCAACTCTTTGCCGTAATATATAGGGGTTTTCAACCACATTCTCTCGTCTACAATGTTTTATTAAGATTTTAAGATTTACGGATGTTTTTCGTATTTTATTATTTCTTTTTGATATTACGTTTTGGATTCATAGGGCTTCTAAGATTAAGTTACATTATACATAGGCCGTTCAGGCATCAAGATTGATATCTTATCAATTATTCAATATTAAACATTTAGGTTTTCTCATACTTTTTTATGAATTCCACTGTTCTTGTTCTTATCAATTATCTTCTCTTTGTCAAGATGGGTCGTTTATTATACAAAATTATTAATTATTACAAACTAATTAAAAGAAAGTATATTAAATAAAAGAAGGAAGAAAACTTGAAAAAAAAAAAAATCGTATTAAGAAGTTGAGAAGAAGACGAGAATATGTACGTGGGCATTACATACAAGATGTGCATGCGCTTAATTTTCATATATTTTAACAAAAGATAATATGCGAATTAAATTTTGATCTAGTCTTTCAATTTGATTGGAGGAAGCTCGATAAAGAAATGCTAGATCCGATATTGGTTACTGGGGAATAAGTTCAATTGGAATACAAGAAATTTGAAGAACTAATTTAATTCAATTGGTTGTTAAAACCAACCAAAAATACAATTTTTAAGTGGATAAAATGTTGTCTCACAGTTTAGCGTTTGCATGAGCTGTTGCTTGGATGTTGATTACAATTGTCATTTTCTTTTCCTTCTAATTTTTTTATGTAAAAGATATGATATTTCTTGTTGAATGACATGAAACTGAGGAGAGTTAAGAGTGATGTTGAACTACATAACAAAAATAAAAAATTCAAAGCCGATTCAATAAAATATTGCGATGTGAAACATAAAAACTGATGTAGAATAGATGGCTGAGAAGATTGAAGACCAGCTTGAATGATGCAAAGTTGGCAACAAGGCTTATGGGATGTAGGTATGGTAGATCGGTGTCAGAATCATGCATAATACATGTCGTTTGGAAGAGAATGACGCGAGGACCAATACACATTTGCTTGGCTTGTGAATCAGGGGCAAAGTTGGCCAAATTCCTTCTTTACCATCCCAAAACAACGTTTTAAATTTTGGGATACTTCTGGAACTTTGTTAACCCTTTCTTTTATTTCCTCCTTGAATGTTAAGTCCTACTAGGGTTTGCCTTATGTTTTGGACGTATAAATACACCTCTTTGGTGTTGGTGTTGAAGATCAAGTCGATTCTAGGGTTTCTTAGAGGATTCTAGGTTGTGATATATCATTCTATTTTTCTTATTATATCTCGCCGCGTCAACAAAATATTGGTACCCTACAATATAAAAATAAAAAAATAAAAAATAAAAAAAGGGAGAGTTCCGAACCCCAAATGTAGTAGTTGAACAATCAAAACTCAATCCACCTAAGAAAATGCGGAGGCTTCTCAAACCACATGCAAAATAAACCGAGCTAAAGTGATATGTCACTCCATCTGTATTGTACCACAACGATTGGATTAAGTATTCTTTAAACTAATGAGTTTAATAATCTAATGACACTATATATGATTAGTCATTGCCAACAATGGCGCGTTGTGGGCTCCTCATCACATTAGAAAGCCAAAAGCTTATTTGACATGTCTCAGACTCTCAATGCATCAATGTTTTGTTGAAGTTTAGAGTGGTTTTTTTTTTTTTTTTTTTTTTTTTAATAATACAAGCGAAGGGGAGTCAGGATCTTAGAACTTCAAATGCTCATAACCAATTGAAATCGGTAAATTTGATAACATTTAGAGAGAGAGAGAATTAAGGAAGCAGCGAAGAAATTGTGTACAACTGTTAACTTAAGTTCGATTTCTGTTCTTTTCACCAGGTCTTTGTGGGTACGCCAAACAGAACCTTTAGGAATCATAAGGCCATGGAAAAGCAGGAGAATATTAATTAGTACTCACCATAGTGTGTGAAATTGAGAATATAAAAAGCTGTAAAATCTTGCTAAGCTAGCTAGTTTGAAAGAAAAAACCATCAGATCACACTTGTACTGGCCGTGTTATAACTTATTATATACACTCACAGACAGTTATATATCAATATGATTTGGTAGTTACCGGTTGAAATGCACTTTGACCATTAACTGTTGGCTGTGTTGACAATATTATACAAATCTAGCTCGATATATGATATATGCCCTTTTGCTTCAACTCATGCAACTCTTTTGTTAAACAACTGTACGTACTATGCATGCATAGATACACTATTTCCTTATTTAGAACTTATTTTTGGACCCTTTCTTTTTTAGTGGAGCACTATGGTTTTTTCTCTTCTATGGTGAAGTTCATATACTCCTAAATATGTCCGTTTGCAA